CACACCCAGATGGACACACAGCCCCACACACAGACGGATGGACAGGACCCTGAACACCCAGACAAACACACAGCCCTGCACACTGATGGATGGACAGATACAGAGCCATGGACACACAGACAGACACACTGATGGACAGCATTGAGCTCTGCACACCCAGATAGACACACAGACTGACACACTGATGGATGGACAGACACAGAGCCATGGACACACAGACAGACACCCAGACAGACACACAGCCCCACACACTGAAGGATGGACAGGACCCTGCACAGCCAGATGGACACACAGATAGACACACTGATGGATGGACAGACACAGAGCCATGGACACACAGACAGACACACAGCCCCACACGCTGATGGATGGACAGACACAGAGCCATGGACACACAGACAGACACACAGCCCCATGCACTGATGGACGGACAGACACAGAGCCCTGCACACCCAGATGGAGACTCGGCAGTTCTGCATCACTGCACCTGGACAATGACATGGCCACGTGCACCTGGCTGCTCCCACTCACAGCGTCCCACGTGCCCCACCCACACACACTCCTGTGCACCCCGCAGGCACCCGAGTGCTGCCCTCGCCCCCTCCAGCTCCCCACACACACCTGATGGAGGGGAACCATGTGGTTCCCCTACCATGGAGCTGTCCCCACCCAGAGGGGAGCCTGAGGCATATGGGTGTCATGACACAAAACATGAAACCTGAGGCCATCCCTCAGCTCAGCTGCACAGAGGGCAGACCTGGGGTGCATCATCCACCACGGGGTCTCACCATTGGGGACACCAACCACAGCAGGGACAGCCACTTCCAAGGCATACAGTGTTTCCCCAGTGCCAACCAGTTCACCATTCCCAAACAAGTGCCCCAGCACCCCCTGTGCCACCCCAGTGCCTGCATCCCTTTGGGAAGATGAGAGATTCCCCGGGAATGGGAAATCAGCAGGTCCTGTCACAACGGGACTCGATACCTTCAGCTTTTGTAGTCCTCTCACTTCAACGCAGCACCCCCACATGCCCACAGACAGGCTGTTCTCCCCCTTCCCTCTGCCCACCAAAAACTTCAGCTGCTTCCCAGCCCAAACAGCTCCGGATCCTCCTGCAGGAGAGGGCCAGGCAGGCAGCGAGGCCCCATCACCACCCGCTGCCTGGAGCTGCCAATTTAAGGCCAAGCAGACTCCTGGTGAAACACTGAGCTCTGGCAACCACGCCGCAAACATCTGCTCTTCCAACGGCATCGTGATTCACAGGCTATTAATTGGGGCATGGCAGCGCTGGGAACTGTTTGCATCCCCTGGCTTTGCTCAGAGCCACAACTCGCTGCTGACAAGGTCTGGGGGCCGGAGACAGAGCCAAGCCTGGCAAGGCACTGGCCGCAGTGGAGCCGCACCGGGACCGGCCGCGGGCACGGTGCCCAGCTCCCACACCGGCTGCAGAATGAACCCCAGGAAAGCAGCAGCAGTGGTGCCCGCTGCTTGGCAGAGCCACGGTGCCCACCGGAGCCGGGGGCAGCGGGCAGGCTGCCTCTCTGGCGGGGTGGTTTGGCAAGGGCTGGGGGTGTTCTTCAAGTTGCTGTCACCAAACATCAGCGTGTTCCCACAGGGTGTCCCAGCTGCCGAGCCACTCGCTCCCAGGGGTGCTGCCTTCAAGGGGAGCCACACCTCAGACCCTGCTCGGGCAGCACCAAACAAAGGCTGTGGGGAGCCTCCAACAACAGCCAAGAGGAATCTGAATTCAGAAGCTGATTAGAAACCATGTCATGGCTTCTTCCTGCTCCAGCATTTGGGGAGGAGTGAGCTGGGGGGCGACGTGGCAAATCTAATTAAGATTGAGGGCAGGTTGCAGAGGCAGTGACACAGGTGCTGCAGGAGCACAGCTGCTTGTGGGAGGGGGACACTGGGTGCTGCAGCACCCCTGGCCCTGCAGAAATGGGGAAGGTACAAATTAATTCTCCTTAATCCGATGGGCGCTTGCTCTGCTGCCACATGCCGTGGCAGCTGACAGAGAGCAGCCCGGCCTCCCTGCAGCTCAGCTTTTGGACCTGTGGTGGCCAGGCCATCTCTGTCCCCTGCTAGTGACACCACAAAGCCTTGGGAATGAGCTGCTGAGCAGGACAGGGTGAGCAGAAGGGGCTCAATCCTGCCTGGTTTGGAGGTGGTGAGTGTGGAGCGCTGAGCTGTCTGCCCTGCCCGTGGCTTTCCAGGTGGATCCCCCATGCTGCTGCTCATAGAGGGAGACCAGCCATCACAGGGCCATTGAGGTGGCCACCATCTGCAGCCCACTTTACCAGAGCAGGTTTACACCTGGTCCATGGGCATGGCAAAGCCCAGAGGCCAGGCTGAAGGGGCGCTACCCAGGGTCTGCAGCACCAGCACCACTCCACACCCCCCTCCCCTCGCCCTCCGCAGCTCCTGCCGTGCCCTGTGCCGCCTGCATCACAGGGATGTGCTCCCGCTGCGAGGAGATGCCACCCCACGGCCGGGGCGTCCCCCGGGGCACGTCCAGCCGCAGCCCCCGGCCCCCCGCCCGCCCCGTGAGTCCCCCTCTGCTGGCACGTCTCGCCTGCTATTCTTAGCTCTCCGGCGCTGCGCTCTCCCGGCAGTGGCACCGTATATTACTATTATTGCTGGCTGCCAACGTCTCGAAGCAGGCGGCCAGGATGGTGATGGGGCTTCCACACCCCTGGTGACCTGTCGTTCGGTCCCTGCTGGGTTCTGGTCTTCAACAGGCTATTTCAGGAAATCCAATTTGATGGCCAGGAGGAGCACAAGCCACACGTTCAGCCCCTGCGCTGGATCCAGGCTCCTTCTGTTTCTGCTCAGATCCAGATTTTAGCTTCGCCCGTGTTGGCAATAAGGGCCAAGAGTCACCTTTGGCTCCAGATCCAAATTTCTGGCTGGGTGGGATCCAGGGTTTCGGCTCAGCTTGCTGGAGAGATGCGAGCGTCTGCAAAACCTGGATCTGGAGCCCCAGCCCCCACCGCAGCAGCTCCACCTGGGCATGAGACCCCAGCACGGGGCCTGATCGTGCCTTTGAGGGTGGGCAGAGCTGGGGAGACCCACACCAGCACAGCCACCAGCTGCCCACACGGGCTCTGCATCCCACAGGTCCTGGCACAGCTCTGAGCTACTGATGGGGAAGCTGAAGGAAGGGCCCCCCCCAAACACCCCAGCCTGGGCTTCCCAAGCACCCTCCACTCTTCTCATGTCTTGCCCAAGCTGCTGGGAGCCAGGCCCAGCAGGAGGACTGAGAGGGCGGGGGGCTGCTCCTCCAAGCCCACGTGGCACAAGCCTTGGCACTCAGGAGGGAGATCTGGGCACCAAGCTCAGCACCATCTCACCCAGCCTTGGCAGGGGGACACCACGGTTTTGTCATCCCATTCCCGAGAGCTGGGTTGCCTGGATCTGGTCCTTGTGCCCTGGCTCAGTGGGGTAACAACACCCAGGGCAGCCCCAAGTTTGGCTCACATCAACAGCTCCCCACGTCAGTGCTCCCACCACCCCCGCAGCCAAAAGGGGCCCCTCCAGGCTCAGATGTTCCACGGTCACTTTGATGGCTATTTTTGCATTCCCAGTCCTGCCAGCACTGTAATAATGCTTGAAAGGGCTGACATGCTCCTTGCAGCCATGCCCATCTCCCAGTGGCCTTCTCTCTGCTCCATCCCTGCACAGACAGAGTCCTCAAGGGCTGGGAGCCATGGATGCATTCGGGGGAACAGTGGGAGCACAGGGGTGAGAAACTGAGAAAAACCAAAAACTGCATCCATTTCCTAAAGGAGAATCTGCACTGCTGACCGGCTCCTGCTGCAATTTACACCAAGGAAGGCTGCCTGCTCCCAGCCTGGATTCCCACAGGGATAACCAACACCTACAAGCCGGGCTTTGTCCCCTCTTCCTGGCCAGGGGACAGGCAGGGATCGGCTGTGGGCAGTGCAGCCCTGGAGCCCGCGAGGGAGGTGACATGCGGGGCTGGATGTCACAGGATGGAGAGAGACCAGCAGGTCCCAGCACCAACTTGCTCTGCAGGTTTGGCACGGGACGGAGGGACCAGACCGACCCCTCCAAGAAAACCCAACAGTCTGGAGGAAGGAAGGCAGCAGCAAGAGGAAGCACCTAGACAGGGACTCCAAAGCTCTGCTTGCCTGTCAGGCTGGC